ACTTCTACTACTGGATGTCGCCCCCCCCCCCCCGCCCCCACTTCAAAACGCCTTCTGGCGCCACTGTGTTATTTTCTGTGTGTGGGTCTGTGTGAAAAAGAGTGATGAGGGATTAAAAGGAAAAGAGACTTTATTTGATTTCTCATAACCATAAACAGGGTATGGCTGTTTTTCCATGCAAATGCAAGCCAAGGCTTCATTTCCCAGCACCCGTCTGCATGAGAAAAATATGCCACACGTTTAAGCATTACATCACGATACTCACAGTTGCATGTCTGAAACGGCCAGTGGCCATGTGTCAAAAAATTTGCATACATTCATAATCCACTTACGCTGTGGTGCTCGGTCACTGCATGGCCGTCCATACTAATTACATGGACCCTGGTTCACCTCGATGGCAGCTCACTGGGAATTAAGTGAGGGTTCCTGTGGGAAAGGCGAGGCCCTTTGAGTCACCAAATCTCTCCTCTGACTACCTCTGCTGCTGCAGGTCACAGGTTAGCTGGGTCTTATTAAAGCCCCGCCAAAGGCAATAACAGAAGTCATATTGCCTGATAATTCTCTCTTTGGTACAGCCTGAGTCGCCATGATAGCGGTTTAGGACTACAAAAAGCAACAGCTTGGTTCCTTCGCTGCCTCGGTTTGCGGGAGTTTTGGCATTTATCTGTTTTGCTGTGATTCTGTTTCTAGCTCTGTTCAACACGTAGGAGCTCAGTGAAAGCATTTAATTGTTTGAAGACAGTCTGACCCACTTAAAGAAAATATATTTATAACCTGTTATGAAAACCGTATGCCTAAATGTTTTCAGCTCATTAGCCTGCCGTGTGAGTTTTTAATTCCCGGCACAATAAATACAATTAATTTTAACTGCTACTTTGTAGCAGCAGTGACTTTAATTAGCAATGTCTCTATTGTAGTGCGTCTCCGCACAAATTCCATCTCTTTTATGTGCCTCCATTCTTTTGCTCCTTTGGAATGGCTTTCAGCTATAAATGTATACTGCCAGTTTATAATCAGGTTGTGAGGGGATAAAACAGGATGCCAAAGACTTTCTGTTCTACACAAAGTCAATAAGAAGGCATGTGTAATTCTGTTCTGCACTTATTTTATACTGAAGTATTCATTGCTGCGAGGCTCCTTCCAGTCCTATTTGATAGCTGCTGAAAATGAAAAAGGAGCTCGGTCCAAGTTGCAGGAGTTGGATTTTGATCTGAACAGAAGTCTGCACTCCATCAGCCTGTGTGTTCCACTGGAGGTAATCACCACTACTGTGCGATCGGCGATCCATCCATCACCCCCTGCAGCTCTTATTGAACCAGACCTCAGGAGAAGCTGAGAAGTTAGCTCCCACTGCTACTCAGACCAGTGGTTTGATTGATGGCATCACTTTTATCGCCCCTGTGAGAATGCTAACACATAACTGACCTGTTGCCTTGGATGACATGTCCTGTGCAGTGATTGACAGGTGTCTGGGGCTGATATGCTTAGACATGCGATCCCTGCATTAACCCCGACCTGCCACCCTCTCTCTCCCTGTTGATTTGGGGATGTTTGGGGGGGATATTGAGCTGCCAGCTGGTGCTGACGTGCTCGCTATACCTCTCGCCTCCAGCCAGACGCTTAATTAAAAGCGCTTGAAGACAGATCAAGCCCTTTTCCTTCTTTCTCCATTAAGTATCTCTGAGGGCTGCAAAAGAATCCGCTGGATGTTCTCTGCTGGAAGTCTCCAGTAAGAGCTGCTTTATTTTTAAGTACAGTTCAGTTTTTGCTCTTAATTGCGTCCCAGGACAGTACAATTCTGGATCTATCTCAGATTTGAGTCAGGTTTGTCATACAACCGTGTTTCATTGTAGAGTTCTGAGAATTAATTTGGTGAAAACTCTCGAGCTATCCAGGACCACTATTCCTGTTGAAGCCAAATGTGATATACAAGCAATCAGAGGCAATCACAATCTTACTCCCGGATTGTTTCCTTTAGTCTTCTTGGCTGTTCCTGAAGAATCATTTCCTGCCAAACCTTAAATCTGTAACGGAAAGAGACAGCAAAGAAAAAAAAAACACAAACTTGAAGCCTTTGATGAGGAAAAACCACAAATAAATCTGCCCAGTTTGCATAAAAAAGTTATTGTTTCTATTTTCAGCTGTATACAGGCTGATCCCATGTTTAAATCATACATTGGTCTTTAACTGTGCTTTGGCAGCATTAAAAAAAAAAACGGACTGTAAATCTTTGCAAGAACGGCGGTCAGAAAAAAGCTGACACGGTTAACCATATCTCTACCACAGGACCACATTCAATTCAAAGCATGAACTGTGATTTGTGTTTTATATATCCACCTTGGCGAAAGAGTCTACATATCAATCAGAGGCTGACAGAGAGCGCCACATGTGAAAGCCTCAACCTAGAAAGTGACATCCATGACCTTCATGGTGTCTCTGCATCTGGGTGGACAGAAGCCATTCTCTGCTTCAGAGGGTTTTAAAATTGAGGTCTTGAAAGGTGCAACCTCGATGTCTGAAGCCAGAGCGAGCCTAAAATTCCAGCCAACAAAAAAAATCCCCACCTTCTAACACCCAAGTCTTCCCTCTCAGAAAAGAAACAGCGCTAAACTATTAGCATAGAAAGAGCTTGGCTGTCAAGCAGAGCTGCTATTGTGTCTGTCGGGCTGCATCTCTCCCCCTCTCCCCTTCCAGCTGTGTCTACTGGAGCTTTTTCTTCCCTTCAACCTGCTGCAGTCACACTCTTTCAATCAACACAGTCAAAGCACACTATACATATTTACCAGATTCAGTTGTAATGTGCACTCTCACTGCCACGTATTCATATTTAGCTGCTCTTATGCCCACGGCTGCCCATTTCAGATTTTATTAAGGGATGCTTATTGAGGAGTTATTGATGTGGCAGTAGTCCTCCTGGCTCCAGGGCAATATCACTCCACTCAGCAGGAAGAGCAATGGCTCTGTTGCTCTAAATGGGCACAGACTGCCTTTTTATGTTGCTATAAAGAAATGATACAGTACAATATCAACTCGTACAATATGATAGTGCACTTAAATGAAGTCCTTGTACTAGATTAAAATCCACCTTACATATAAGAGCTACATAATACAGAATGTTAGGGCTGGAGTTGGTACCACAATGAATAAGCTTAGCTACAGAAAAATACACTGAGATTTTAATAAAAAATTACCTATGTCAGTCATTCTTAAGACAAAAAAAAAAATCATTTCTGCAACTTCAATATTTTTCATTATTTTCTGATTGATATTCAATAGTGCAACACTTTTTTTCCCCTTCTATATCACATAAACAAGATTCAAAATCATTGCTTGGGTTCTCTTATTAGTTGACACTTTATTTTTCTTATAGCAAGCTTTACATACTACATACTTTTCGCTTACTGACATGGCCCCTGACCAATTTGTTCAATTGTCATCAAGTCCCCCTCGCCAAAGAGCAGGCACACCTGCAGTGCTATGATGAGCATTTGTCTGGTTAGACATGATTGGAATATTTGTCTTAAAATCAAACAGTCCTCTACACACATATTTCCATACTGTTCTGTACCCCTGTACGGTTGCAACTTGCCACCCTTGCTTCTCCTGGCTCCTGCCTGTCGCGCTCCACGGCCCCGGGGGCAGCAGAGTGGAAACGTAGTGTTCCTGGCACTGCTGGTATACGCTCCCTCAGTCCACCCATCGCACAGAGCAGCAGTCTCCTTGTTCCATCTGTCACTCTCCGACCCATAATCCCTTGCTCTTGTCACCGATCTTATGACATGTTAGATTACCCAAGAGGATGTTTAAGTGTTCGTTTTAATCCAATGCATGAGAGGCTTGTGTTCAAAGTGTGTGTAAACCACTGTTTGTCTATATTCCGTGACATTCAGGCTAATCTGAGACATAGCCATACATCTGCCCAAAATATTCCCTTTTTTAACCAGCTGTTGCAAAAATATGGATTATTATAGCGTAAACAAAGATATTTGACTGTTTTTTTTATTCATAAAGAGGATGAATATCATAGATTTCATGTCAATCCAAGTATATACTGTGTGTATCATATCCCACTCTGCACGTTTAACCCCCTTTGCTCCTGTCTGTTAAACCGTTTCATACGAGTATTTACAAAGTATGAGAGACAATAGAGCAGTTCTGTGTAATTACAATTACAGCAGCAGACAGGTAAATCACAGAAAATGTCAAATCTGATTGGACTGTGAGCGTGAAGAAGAGTCTACACATGCATGCACCTCCTCCTCTGACAACACGCCGTGCAATTTTTGGCATGATTCTGGCACCTCATCTCCTTCATGAAAAAAAAAAAAAAACACTGCCTGTTTGATATGCTTCCCCACTCTTCCTCCTTCCCTGCCTGACGTGTTTGTTCTTCAGCCCCTGCCGCATGTCATAATGGGCCGAGGCAAATCACTTCCAGGCTCGAGCTGAGATAGTGATTGTATCAAACTGACCCCTAACAAGCTGTCAGCTCACATTTGATAAAGCATGCATCAGCACCCACTGGCTTGACATCCATTTGGACGGAGTGGACAGGTCTTATTCAGGCAGTGTGATTCCCTGTGCCACTCTCTCTCGCTCGTTTTTCCGGACAGTTTGTCTCTAACTAACGATGATTGCATCCAGCAGTGCTATTTGATACGCACAGTTGCAGTCAAAAGAAGTCAAAAAGTAGATGCCTGAAATGTCTGATCATATAGATAATGGCTAGATGGATGTAGCACCTCAGTTACTCCTATTACATCAGTTCCAGAAACAAACAGTTCTCCTGTCCACACATAGAGGGAGCTCATGCGTCCTGAGAAACCACAGCCTGGAAATGCTCAATGAGTGAGTGAGAGTGTGTGTAAGAGCAAGAGGCAGAGAGAGAGAGAGAGAGAGAGAGAGAGAGAGAGCGAGAGAGAGAGAGAGAGAGAGAGAGAGAGAGAGAGAGTCGAAATCACTTCGTAGGGGAATAATAATAACGTGACACAAACCGGCAACAAGGACATCAATTTGAGCTGTGCGTCAGGTTTAACGTGCGCCCTTTCTCCGGTCCAACTTTGTCCAAGTCGGTGGAAGCCCGGCGAGTCAGTCTGCGCTCCCGAGGCGGCGTGACAAGTTTGGAAAGAGGGGGAAAAAAGAGACTCGCATCACTATTTTTAAATGTGAGATTTTGGGGGCGTGGACGGCAGAGGAGCAGCGCTGAGCATGTTGGCTCCTGGCTGCAGTTCCAGTGTGGTGATGTGCCGGCTGGAGGAGGAACCCGACTACGCGTAGACTGAGCGATCGGACGCGGAACTGTATTGTGTCTGTCAAACCTCTGGACCCGAATTTCTGTCATTTTCAAAGCCCATTTGGATTTGTTACTTCAATGCGCCGCCGTTGGGCGTTACAGGAGATTTTCAGGAAGGATAATAATCCGTGAAAACGTTTTGGAAGACGCAGCAGACGCCGTGCGTAACTGACGAAATCTCGTCAAACAGCAATTTGAATGACAATAGTTTGAGGCAACTGCGCTCTTATTTGTCAAAGGCATCATTTTTGAAACCGACTGTGCGTGGTGAGTCAACGTGGGGGAGTAAATTTGATGTTTTCAAATGACATTTTGGATTTGTCAAGTGGAACTGAAGTGATTTTCATTTGTAAATATTGACAGGTGTAGAAGTCATTCTGACCGTGCTAGGAACAGCATTTCATTCACTTAAAGCTCTCTCTTTATGGCTTAAAACAACGCGGACTCTAGAGGATGGGATGGTAACCAAACCATCGGTATGGATGATCCAAACACTGTGTAATCCAGTTTTATTTACTTTCCAAACACTAAGTGAAAGCGCACGTTTGATTACCGATCTTATAATGCGTTTGAAACGTTGACTGGGAAAGTCACCATCACTTGTGCGTCTTTTACCGAGTTGTAGCCGATAAGGCAACAGCCAAAATGACAAGCAACGGACCTGTCATCGTCTACGAGTGGCTGAAGACCCTCCAGCTTGCTCAGTATGTTGAGTCCTTTGTGGATAATGGGTACGACGATCTGGAGGTTTGCAAACAGATCGGAGACCCGGACCTGGATGCTATCGGCGTGTATATCCCTCACCACCGGCAGAGGATCCACGACGCGGTCAGGAGGCTGAAAGAGGACGCCCAGGAGACGGCCAGTGGACTCTACTTCACCCTGGAGCCCATGCCACCTGCGGCTGAGATTTACACCAGCCACATGGTGGACCAGTACGAGTCCAGACTGCGGGGATCCAAGTCCTGGACCGAGCCCAACAGTGACCGTGTGGGGCGTAATGGTGGGTACTTGGGCGCGCAGAGGAACCTGACGCTCGGCAACAGGAGGGAGCTGGTGGTTTATCCCAAGCTGAAGCTGAAGATCATGATCAGGGATAAGCTCATCAGAGATGGCATCAACCTGGCTAAGCCTCCCTACTCTAATAAGGTAAGAACTGAGACCTGAATAGATGCGGTCTCATAACGCAGAGCGCGTCGCTTGGCAAAAGTCTTGCATGTAAACAATGGATGAAGCCACGCTACACAGTGCATCATGTTTATAATCATACAATGCAAATAATCCTGATATATTTATCGTCTTATATTGAATATAAGCTGCATTCAACTCAGAAGCTTTTATTTTAAAATAACCATTACAGGGGAAGTTATATTCTTTGGTGAGAATCAACACCTGATTTGAAAATACCCAAAATTGCTTTGGATTTTTAAAGAAATGAAGACAGACAGGGAAATCTCAGTCTTCAAAATAATCAAACAGTACATATTTTCAAAACACTGTATCAAAATGCTGCCATAAAAGAAAACCAAAAGGTCTCACGATAAGCAAAATATCTACTGGGACAAAAGTCACAATTTATGTGAACTTTCCTGTTACTTGATGCTTAAAAATGATACGAATTAAACTTGAAAACTTAGCTACAGAAAAGAAAAACATACATCTTTATGATTTTATCATTACAATTACTATAGTGGTATCAAACAAAGGTTAAAAAACTGATTTGTGATAGATAAGCATATCCTTATATCCAAAATATCCTTCCTGACTTTTTCAAAGTAACAGTCAGAATTTCTTTTCACTTTCAAAGGATTTCTTTTGTCATAAAAAAAGTAGATGAGTGGTTTTTACAAGTGTCTGTATTTGCAGTGTGTTGTGGCACAGACGGAGGCTGTCACCTGCTCTGCATCCGCCATCATTTGGTCCCCACATGTCATTCACATAAATTGCACCTTCTGCTGTGTTCAACAACATGAGATGATATTACAGCACTGAGCCGTAGGTAAATGCCATTGTGACACCCTAAACATTTCCAGCCCTGCTGTGCTGCACTCTGCAGAAGAAGCGAGTGGTTGCAGTCACATTGAATGATGGCGATGAAGTTCCTGCAGATCGATAAGCAGAGAGCACAGAGCAGATCCTGAGGAGCTTTCAAACTCAGCTGTGATTTCCTACAGGCGGAGATTTACACTCTGATTATTAATCTAACCTGACCTCACCTGTCCAGCAGTGACTCGCCTCGGCATTCAGCGTGGGTGGATCAACAAGGCCCACGAGCATATAAGCCGGGTGTTCTTTGCTGTGATGAATGGGCGGCGGGCCGTTAATGGCAGGGGTAGTAAATGAAGAGGAGCGCCCAGCTGGGGAGCGATTGCAGCCCTGTCAGGAGGCAGACTGAGAGGGCCCCTTGTTTTCACAGGACTGATAGTGACCTTTTCTTCAGAAGTGTCTGAATCATATGCCTCACCAGCTGAGAGGGCTCCACTGAATCACGGCTGTTACACACAGGGAGGCTTGTGAGCGGCTGGTCTACGGACCATTGAGAGGGTAGAAGTTGTGTCCTTAAGATTTATTTATCTGTTTGCAACATGCGGCTTTGTTTACCACAGAATAAACAATCAGATGCTGCATGTGCACTTTTCACTGATAGGAGGAAGCTTGTTTGCAAACAAGTCTTCACTTATGCAAGGGCATGGATTGGAAGCTTGTTTTGAATACAAGGATTGTGCTCATTCAGCAGTTCCTTGATATCTGATTGACAATACTTCCTAGGGAATTTGTCTAAGGATCTGACTTTGGCTTTAAGTCTCTGAGCCACCAGTCCTCAGGGTCCCCTTAAGTAAATGTTCTATATAGTGTTCATGAACTTAAACACTGGATGTGGCCCTGTGAGAGCGTCAGTTTGATCTTCTTCATGTGTGGGTGACAATCCACACATGAACGAAGCCGTTCTAACTGGTGGCACACACCCCTAGAACATGCCGGTCATTTATTGATTGTGTCATGACTTTATACATCTCCACTATCATTAACAAACCTTGGTAACATATATACTGTGTGGTACCTTCTTGCTTCCAAATTAGACTTTTCAAACTGATACCGGCCTTTATTCCAATTTCTGCATGTTTCGTAAGCTCTGTCTGCATATTTCTGCCACTTTGGCTAACTGTGAATCCCACAGAGATTTGGGATTTGTGAGGGATTATCTGTGGAAACCAGGGCTGAAACAAAGTGTTGGTTCCAGAGGGTTAAACGATCCCTCTCTTTGAAGGCTGTATTTATTTAGAGCCAGAGCTTTGGCATTGAGGCTTTGGAGGAGGAATGAGCAGGTCAAGGTCTTTCTGTCTGTCTCTGGCTCCTGTGTGTGTTTGGTGTGTGTGTGTGTGTGTGTGTGTGTGTGTGTGTGTGTGTGTGTGTGTGTGTGTGTGTGTGTGTGTGTGTGTGTGTGTGTGTGTGTGTGTGTGTGTGTGTGTGTGTGTGTGTGTGTGTGTGTGTGTGTGTGTGTGTGTGTAAGTGTAACCCAACAGTTTGGAATTGGCTCCAGCCCAGTGCTTTTCTACCCAGGAGGAGTGAGAGGAGGCTAAGAGATGGAGCTGTGACCAGCTGATGGAGGTTTGACTTACTCAGCCTGTGATTGGTCTGCAGATATCTCCCCTCTCTCTGCCTTTGAGACGAGATGTCAGCCCCCAGCGGAGACTGCGACCGGAGAAGCAGACTCGGGGCAATTACAGGACACACAATGTCAGTCTCTGGGGATGTTCATTGTATAGTATAACCAAGATCTCAACCACATTTAAACTGTCCTCTGTGCTCTCAATACGCCTGGATTCTTCATGGACTGTGGTCTGACGGTTCATCTTTGTGTCGCCGTCTTTGTCCCCTTTGTCATTATGCAAAAATCACAGCTAATATAAACACTTACAGGGAGAAATTCTCTATGCTGGATTATTATTATTATCAAACAACTCACTGAAAGGGCTCTGCTGGGGGAAATAAATACCCATGATCCTTATCAAGGCCACAGAGACCCCTTGTTTCAGAGAGTATTATTTCTTGGGATGTAGACAAACACTTGTGCTAAGAGCTGCACATTTCTAGATCTCTCATCGGGGGACAATATAAGCTGGGAAAATGGTCCTGGGAGTGTGCCTGTCTTTGAATGGACTGCACTGGTAGAGTCAATATCATCTTTAATATTAAGTTGGAAATGCTGTACCAGCAGTACAAATGTTGTTAAGAAGGAATTATCAACCCGGCTGATCTCATTTAAGTATTGCTGTCAGCTTTTTGGTTAATATTTATTATGCTCTGTTTATTTCGGAGTGGTGCAGTAATTTGTATCCAGGGATGTTGTTTGAGTATTTAATGAAGTTGAAAAACCTCATTAGAAATTTTTCACTTTAACTTTAAGCTTTTATTATCTGTTTTTGTTAACCACAGTGGTTGCCAAAGGCTGATCCAATCCTTGTGAGATTAACATTGTATGTAATATACTGTGTTTTAATTTCCCATCTTTATTTGGAGGTCTTTTAGCTTCCTTCAAGACCGATTTTTTCCCCATTTGAACCAAAAAGTTGAAGGCTTTCGTATTTGCCAAATAGGAAATTCTGTTTCCCTTTCTGTTTCCTATCACATTTCCAAGGAATTCAACTTTTTTTATTCCATCAGAGAGAAAAGACAAAATACCACTTCAACTCGAGATGATTCTGCTCAAGGCTACACAATCTGAAGATGTGTTCTCATCCACAGAATAGAGCTGGAAACAGACAGTCAGTCATAATAGCGCCTCATTGTTAGCGCTGTGTTGCTGGAGGAAGTGGAAGCTAAACACTGGGAGATTCTCCATTGTTTGTATGGAAGCTGATGGAGCCACATGTCCTTTCACTGCTGCTCTGTTTTGCGTTCCCAATTTCCGTCCATTGAAACCGACTGCAGAGGCAAGTGTCCAGCATTGTGCCGATGGGTGGGTGATAGAAACTGGGTGTCATGCCGAGAGAGACAGGGTTGTAAATAGATAGGCAAGTTATTTTTATTGGCTGAACGAAAGGTTTGGTGGGTGCTTCGGCAGGGAAGCTACAGCCACCAACATTTTGGCAAGGTAGACATTCTAGGCCTTTCTCTGACTCCCACAGAACAGCTGATCAAATGTGGTAGGTGTAAATCACGAGAGGCCTGCAGCTTTACAGGCCTCAAGAATGCAAAAAATGCAGCAGACACCCAGAGGTGTTGCATCTGTTTGGGGGGTTAGCAGAAATAAAGTCAGCTCTTAACTGACTGTATTGTGATCCTTCTGTAAAGAGGACGTTCATCACGTTACATGCCAAACACTCACCTCACTTCCTGTTTCAGGCCTTTCATCTTGATTAATATCCCAGCACTCCTGCCAGGCAGGAAATTAGGTTTTTGTTTAAGATGACCCTGTTGGCCCTCAATGGTTGTTAAGGGCTCTCTGGCTGACTGGGCCACTGCCAAGGCTTAATGTGAAAAATAATTTGTGCAGTTTTGGCTTTTGGTCCAAATACCCACATTGTTAGAATAAAAAAACTGCAAAGCTTACAAATCTTTAAATTTACAGGCTAAACTCAAACTCTAGAAAAGCACCCAGTAATTGCAGAGTTTACATTTTATTGAAAGCTTTCATGGACACCAATCTCCATTGGTTCTGTTGTTTATTTTGTATTCTTGTCCATTTACCAAGAAATATTTGCTGTATGGAATACTGTAGCGACCACGATTTGGGAATTTGTCTTGTACTCCAATTTTGCGCAGATTAAGCTGTTTCCATAGCAATTTAATGACTTTTTTAATATTAAATTTGTAAACAGAGTAGCAGTGTTGCACATACAAATCACAACCAGATATGAATCCAATTGCACATGCTCCATACACATTACAATGATAAAAAGTAAGAGACAAGAAAACAATAGAGCCCATTGCACAACTCCTCAACCAAATTTTTTAATAATGGTTCCTGAGAAGATGAAGGCACCATTCATTTTTAAAAACGCTTGAGTTTACTTAGTTTCATCTACATCATCAAACAACACTTAAACTTAGTATATGGCTATAGCTTTTTCTTTTTGTGATTTCCGGCACTGAGGGCTTTTCTTTTGGTCTACAGTATGTGTGTTGGCTCTATCCTCGTCACCTTT